CCGGGGGCCTGGCGTCACATGCAGAGCTGCTCCGAGCCGCCGAAGCCGAAGGTGAGTGTTGGCAACAAAGTAGCCAGCCCTGCGCGCTGGTCACCGCGGGTCCTGCCCCGCGTGGCTGTGGGCGGGGGTGCGCCGTGCCTGTGACGCTGCAGTTTGTCTTTCCTTGGTGCGTCTAAGGGTTATGGAAAGTAACACTTGAAAACCTAACTAGAGCTAGGCATTTTTGCTCAAGTCTTGACATTTTTACCCAACCCTTGACATTTTTACAACGTTGCCAGCAGTTATCCCTATTTTACAGATGGGGAAGCTAAGACGCAAACTCATTCCGTGAATCTCTGAATAGCCACATAACTAGTAAGAGCCAGGATTTCATCCTTGCCAAAACCTGCCCGTATCGGGGCCTATTCTGGGGGAGACAGGCGGCCCCAACACACCCGTGAAGAGAACGAGCGAGGCGAACAGCACCGTTCCCGCGATCGACCCCGTGGCCTGACACTTAGCTCAAGGCCCCTCTCTCTAGCTTCACAAAAACCTGCCTTGAAGTCACACAGCTGGAAGAGACCTTGAGAATCATGGCTTCTATCTTTTCCCCCCTTTTTTGTTATCGGTGAATAAACTGCTTTCCAGAAAAAGGAAATGACCAGCCAGCTACATAAAAAATATATGTATATTGTATTTTAATGAGAGCCCTAGAAACATCTACTCCGTTACTTTTGTCAAGTGAAACAAGCTTGGACAGAACTAGTAGGTATACATTTTAAGCAGAATCCTTCTTAGTTTGGCATCAGATTGGTCCATCTCCTCGTGGTAATGTTTCACCGCTGGATTCAGATACTCTTCATGGAAGAAGGGTAGCAGTGACCAGGAACCTTGTGCTTTAGAACTAAATACTACCTTTTTTACTATTGCTCCTCATTACAATAATAAAACCACAGAACGTTCCAGCGAAAGGGACTGCGGGAACTGGCTAGTCCAACCACCTCCTTTTACTGTTAAGGAACCTGGGACCCAGAGAGGTTGAATGACTTGCTCAGGATCCCCTGGAGGCAGAGGAGAAAGCGGAATAAATGGTTTCAATGTCTACTTCAGGGTCCATCTATGGTAATCTGTTGTTTCTTTTTTTTAAAAAAGGCCAGTTTGAATAGCTTACACAATAGAAACCTCTGTGACGTGTACCTAAGGCTAGCTCTGAGGAGCTGAAGTAGTTGGCCTCTGACATGCTACCTCAAAATTATGTGCTCTTCAGAGTCCTTACCGTTTGAGATACTGGTTTAGATTATGATAGGCTCTCTTAAGGAGGCCTCCACAAAAATGCCAGACTAGTATTATTGTACCATCAATATTTCCTGATCATTCATATGTAATAATTATTTGTTAAGAGCTGGGAAAGAAAGTATAAAGAAGTATGAAAACATGTAACATGGTGAATTAGTTTTCTAGGTCTGCTGTAACAAATTACCCCAAACCAGGTGTCTTTAGATGACAGAAATTTGTTCTTTCACAGTTCTGGATACTAGAAGTCTGAAATCAAGGTGTTGACAGGGCCATGCTTTCTTTGAAGACTCTAGGGGAGGATTCTTAGTTTCTGGTAGTTGCTGGCAATCTTTGGCATTTCTCAGCGACTTAGCTAATAATTATATATATATTTATACAGCCTTTGTTTCCAAGAAGATCATAGTTCTTTACAGACATGATGTTGTTTATGAGCCCAGCATTCCCAAGGCAGGGAATGGGCCTAGAGAATTCTTATTTTATGGTCTTTTGTTGTGGAGAGCAAGCACTTAAGGTGCAGAAAGAGCAAGTGACTTGTTCAAAGCAACACCAGAACTTAGGGTTTTTTTCAACATTTTCTCATCATAGCAGTGTGACCAACTGTACCCTAAAGGGGTCATATGGGCTATGGATCATTAAACACACATGCGTAGGGAGAGGACAGGACACACCCTTCTGATTCTGGTAACAGTACCTTATATTTCCAAAAGAATATGCTCAGCTCACACTCAGTCCATTTGAATCACCCAACCATGGCCCTGGGCTGGTTAAGCTGAGTAATTTCACCTCCTGACCACTGAGATTGGCACATGAATCATGCTGTTCTAATCAGATATAAACTACATTTTTCAATAGCAGCTTCAGCTGCACAAAAGATATTTTGGTTTTCTTACAGTTTTCATTTCATTTCTCAAATCGTCCAGACTTAGACAGGAAGCAGTAGGTTATTTATTGGACCCCTTGAATCTCGACACTTCTGTGTTCCTTTCTCATCTGATCTAACATACCATTCTCCTTCTCAGCGTCCTGCATTAATTTCTCATCACCTCTAGGTGACGAGAATTCCTAGCAAATCACCTGTGGGAATCAGTGGGGTGATAAGATGTCATTGACAGGTGGGCCTCATACCCACCTCCTTAATGTGACACCCCAAGGCCATGACTGAGACCCCTCCAGCGTGTTAATCGTATGTCCTAACACTTCCCCGTGTGTTCCTTGTGTACTAACATGCATCACGACTTGCTTGCTCCCAAATAATTCCTTATTTTAATGCCTCTGTGTCTTCACACATGCTTGCTATGACTGAAATAATTTCTCTTTCTTAACTGCCTATTAAAAAAAAAAAAAAGTCCTTCAATTTGCCCCCCTGGAGCTATGTTATCCTCAAGTTTTCCCTAACCTCCCCAGGCAGAAGAGTGTCTCTCCTTTATCCGCAACAGTATTGTTTGGTTTAACTGTTCTTGGCCTTTGCTGGCTGCTGTCTTTTTTTGTGGTTATCAATCCTCACCGGAGGATATTTTTTCCCATTGAGTTTTTAGAGAGAGTGTAAGGGAGGGGGAGAGACAGAGTGAGAGAAATAGCAACGTGAGAGGGACACATTGATTCGTTGCCTCCCCATTGGTTGCCTCCCGCATACTCCCTGACCAGGACCAGGGATCTCCCAAGCTGTGTCCTTGACTGCAATCGAACCCTTGCCCCTTCAGTCCAAAGGCTGACACTCTAACCCCTGAGCCAAACCGGCCAGGGCTTTGCTGCTGTCTTTTTCCCCGTGGTATTGCTCACCTGCAGCAAACGTGAGTTCAGTTCAACAAACATATTTCATGTACCCATGACCTGTTCCTCCCAGGCCCTGCAGAACTAATGAGACTCTAGCTCCCAGGCCTTCCACAAGCAGAAATAGGTGTCATCCCATTTCCTGCTACAATGCTTTTGCCCTATCTCCATATTCATTCCTGTTTGAAATCATGCTGTATTTTCTAGACTAGGTGCTCCGTAATGTCTACTTGAACGGAATTGAATATGTTTTCTTGCTCAAGTAGGGCTAACAGCTTCATCTGCCAGAATCTTTGGAACTCATATTTTCTTACCCAACTCATTATTCTTTTAGCTTTGAGTAATGCTTAGTTGCATATGTGTCTTTCTCCCATTACCTCTCCCATTGGACTGTAACCTCTTTGAAGACAGGGACTGTGTCTTCTGCGTCACACCGTCCAGAGTGCTTAGGACAGTGCTGGTGCGGAGGAAGTACTCAGAACATGTTTGCTAAGTGATTATGGATGGATGAGTGAGTGAATGCATGAATATTATTTTCCTTCTTGATCAGAGAATTTATGAAGATAGAACTTGGCAAGAGAGGTCACTCCTCTGCTTACCACCCTTCAAAGTTCCTGAAGAGAGAGGACAGTAGAGGGAGAGAAAGCAGTGGATGACCCAGAGAAAAGCTCTATCTTTCCTCACAGTGCTCTGCGCCTACTTGCCTTGTGTACCCAGCAGGAAGTTCCTTAGAGTTTGGGGGCTTTGATGAAGCATTTTCCACTTGGATGATGCAGATCAAACCCTACTTTTGCATTTTCTTGCCATTTCAGTTGGAATTGGGAACAAGGAGTCAAATGTGAATTTTCAACCTAACATCTTTCTCTGTGATGCCTTCTGTGACCTTCATTTAACATTGCAAGCGGTAGCTTTGACCCCATACTCTTTATGCCCATTCCTGCCTTATTTTTCCTCTGTAGCACATACCCCTGTCTATTTTGTTAGTTTACTGTTCATCTCCCTATATCAGTAAGGAGACGGAAAGCACACAGGTTATTTCAACAGGAAAAATTTAATATAAATGATTGTTAATTTAATATAAAATCTATTATTAAGAATTTAATATAAAGCGGAAGGTGGTTGACTAGTAAGAGAGGTAAAACAAAATAAAAAAAGAGATTTCCCGGAGGGGTCCAGAAGAAGTGGGTGCAGAAAAGCAGCTACTACCTCTAGGCTGGGGGAGAGTGGACGGGAAGGAACTGAGGACGCGAGGAACATCCCCAGCCCTTCTGTCCCCATCCCAGGCTGAGGTTCAGAGGCCTCCCAGGAGGGAATGGCTACCTAGGACTAGCTCCATAATATGCAGATTCAGTGTAAAATGGAAATGAAAGGCTCCTTGTTAGAAAATTGCTGAGCATTTAAAAAGTGTGACAGCAGAACACGAAACCAAATGCAAGGCTCAGTGCCAGGCCCCGTGCGGCTGACACAAGCTCTGTGCAGCTCTGTCGCTGCTGCAGGAACACATAGCCTGCTGCTGGCAAAGACGCCTGCTGGAGGGCTCCGGCCAGTCTTGACCTGTGGAAGCCACTGCTGTGGCCCGAGAGCGTGGCCTGGCTGGGGCTGCTCTGCCAGCAGAAATGGGCAGGGGGGTGGAGGCTTAAGCACAGGGCTGGAGCCTTGACAGTTTGCTGTTATCAAAACCACAGCTGTACACACCGTCCCATTTTGTCATTACAAAGCAATATTTTTCAAGTTAGAATGATGGAACATTTTATTTACTCGCGTGTTACCTGGATTTATAATCTTAAACATTTCTAAACATATGCACACACTCTTCCCCTACTCCCACCCCCGCCCCCGGCCCTACAAATGTCTGTGGCAAACCTGGAAGGGAGAAAGCAGAAGAAATAGCCTCCTAGAAAAGGTGGCACGAGATAGGATGGAGAAAGCAAAGGGAACAATTAGTGTGAGGAGGAGGAAAGACTCCTTTTTTATTTTTAATTGTGGTAAAATACAACGTAAAAATTTCCATCTAACTATTTTTAAGAGAACAGTTCAGTAGTGTTAAGTATCTTCACATTGTTTTGCAACCAATCTCCAGAACTTTTCATCTTGCAAAATTAAAACTGTGTCCCCATTAAACAACTTCCCGTTCCCCGTTCCCCCACCCCCTGGCAACCACCCTCCTACTTTCAGTCTCTATGAATTTGGCTACTCGATGTACCTCATATAAGTGGAATTACACAGCATTTATCTTTTGTGATTATTTCACTTGGTATAATGTCCTCCGGGTTGAGCCATGTTGTAGTAGGTGTCAGCATTTCCTTCCTCTGTGAGGCTGGAATGAACACGAGTGTACAAATGTATTTTTGAGACCTGGCTTTCGGTTCTTTTGGATAAATACCCAGAAGTGGGATTGCTGAATCAGAGTAATTCCATTTTTAATTTTTTCATGAACCGCCATAGTGTTTTCCACAGTGACAGTACCATTTTGCATTCCTGCCAACAGGGCCCAAGAGTCCCACCCCGTTTTCTCCACATCTTCCCCAACACTTGTTATTTTCGGTGTGTGTTTTTATAGCAGCCACCTTGATCGCAGCTCATAGCTGGCCTCAGTGGTTGTCCAGTCCTCTAAATGTCCTTCACACCTGCACCATCATAAAGTGCCTTCGGACTATAACCTAGTGGCCAGGTGCCGTGCTTGCTTAGAATTCATCTCCCTCGGCCTGGAGCCCAGCCCAGCTCCTGTAGCTGCAGTCCTTAGAAGGCACTTTAGAAAGTGGCCAGCCCTGACTTCCCTTGTTCACGCAGGAAAACTGAACCGGGCCTGGCGTAGGTGGCTGGCCTGACACGGAGAGCAGCATAAAAACAACGAGTAATGCACATCTGCTTTCACAGTAACCTCTCCGCAGCCGAGGATACAGGTAGAGACAGGCGTTGCTGACCCTCAGGGCCATGCCTCGTGCAGTGAAAGTTTCCCAAATACACAGAGGTGTCAAGTCAGGCTCAAGTGTGGCCCCCTGGAGCTGTCCCCACGTGGGAAGGGCCTGTGTGTCCGGCTGGATTCCTGCTGCCTGCTGGGGACGAGCCTGGCCTCCTGACCTGCCGAGCTGTTGTCTGTTGTGTCTCTAAACAGTATATTCAGACCCTCCGTCCTCAGCAAGGAGCCTGCTCCCACTCCTGCTCTGCTTCGGGACTTAGGGGCAGAGGTTTATGCTTCTTCCTGCCTATCCCTTAATATAATGATTATTAACTGAAAAGAGGGTTTAAGAGGGTTAAGTAGAATATTTTCTATGCCCTAACATAACACCTTGCTTCATTTTTTGCTACATCTTTCACATGTATAGATCATTCCACGTTTTCAATCTTGGGGTACCTCAGGCTACAGGGTGGAGAGTAAATGTACTTGGGCTCCCCTTAATTATTTGGTACTTGGTACAATTCCTGATACATAAAGGATTATTGAATAAATACTATTTTATAATATGCTGTTCCCATTTTGCATAATAAGAACCTTTTCCTATATTTCCATATTATGAATAATTGTAAATTCTAATGGTTCTATATTGGCACAGAATAGTAATTTATTAAAGACTTCCTTATGTTGGAATTTTGACTGTTTCCTTTGTTGTTGCTTTTACTATAATAGATAATCTTACAAAAATTTCAATGTACATTTTATTTAGAGTCTTTGGAATTAGTTTCAAATAAAAAAGAATTCCAAGAATGGAATTACTGTGCTAAGGAGGTTTGGACAATTTTATGATTCAAAGAGTATTTCTTTAGGAGCCAATACCTCCTGGTAGAGACAACCCATTTGTGCCCTTTCTGCAGTACATACTCACATGTCTATTTCTAGAGTGTGTCTGAGTCAGTGATGAGGGGCACTGAAGCTCTCTGATGAATGATCCTGACAACAGGTGGTGTGTGTATGTGTGTGTGTGTCTAACACCAATGGAAAGCCTGGAAGGTGAAGATGTGGGCTGAGGTCACTGAGTTCAGAGATACGGATCTTGTGGCAACATGGGCAACAAATACGTTTCTGGGGGGAGGGTGCTATGATGGGTTCTGGGCCTGGGATTCAGGCCCCACCCATTACAGCCGACTCTGAATCTTGGTTCTTCATGTATCATGAAGGCGCCTTGGCACCAGATCCCTTTTCAAGCCCTGCAGTGAGTCTCTGCTCTCACCACTAGATGGCACCTGAGCTATGGCTGTCCCCCGCGGAGCAGTGAGCCCGCGGGTGCTTGGCGGTTTGAGGTACCCCTATGGACCCGGGCCTATCCCGTGCCTGGACAGAGTCACTCACAGAACTCCACCTGAGAAGACACAGGCACTCCTGTCCTTGCTTTTGCTGAATTCAATGTTAGCATCCCCTCAGACTAAACTAGGCACTTTTTGCTCCGTTTTCTGGATCTAATCATAGGTAAAAAATACAGTCCTTTTTGTTCCTGGGCCCTCAAAAGAAAAAGTGTGTCTTTCCCAATGAAAAACAAATTGTTTTTTGATTGTATTTTACTTGTTTATAGGCAACATAGAACCAGAATGACCTGTGTTTGAGTTTTGGCTCTCATTTTCTGAGCAGTCCTTTCTGGGCCTTAGCTTTCTTCTAAAACGAATCTAATCATCCTTGCCTGATGGGGTTGGGGGCAGGAAACTGTGATAATGATGCAACGTGTCTAGCATGGAGCCTAGTCCTTAGCAGGCACTTTCTGTCTCCCACCTTCCCCAGATGGAGAAGGGACTCTGTCCTACTCACCGCTGCACCCTGTCAGCATCACAGTGCCTGACATGTAGACGGGCCTCTGCAGTGTTTGGAACAAATGAACAAACCAGCTCATGAATGGAGCTTACCTGGACGTCAATCTACTCATCTCCTGGTACTGAAATACAAAGTTGTGTGGAGGATTTGGAAAATTATATCATAAAACTCCAGCCTACAGTTCCTAACAACCTGATTGGAGGAGACAAGACTAATCAAGGCACATTTCACACTGAACACAGAAGCTAAGAAATGAAAATAACTAAAAATGTATGGTACAGACTGCTTATAATTAAGTTTATGGTTCCTTCAGTAGGGTTCTGTTTCTCAAAATCTGCCACNACTAAAAATGTATGGTACAGACTGCTTATAATTAAGTTTATGGTTCCTTCTTCAGTAGGGTTCTGTTTCTCAAAATCTGCCATTCGTGGGGTTAGCTTACATGTGTACTGTTTGCTGACAGTAGGCTGTGTGTCACATCCAGGACATTGCGATGGGAAACAAGAGGACTCATTTTGCAGCAGGGGCATTATGTCTGAAAGGCAGATGTGGGTGGAATTCCAGTAGGATCAGGAAGGCAGCAGGCTCCGAGGGATGTGATGGAGGTGTCTGGAGGCAGAAAAGAGAGTCCAAAAAGGGAAGTGAGAGGACATGGAAGACAACATGTAGCCGAGGCACTGTTTGGATGATGATTACTTCCTCTTTCCTATTTGTGGCTGAAGTCATAGAATTTAAATCTGGAAACTACCTTGAAAGTGTTTTGGCTGATCTCACCTCCAAAATAGAAACCTGTCTATATATCTCTGACTAGAGGCATTCAAATCACTGCTTAAACACTTTTAGGGACAGGGAAGTCAGCTTGGAAGAAGGCCCACTTCAGTAGACGCTTCTAATTGTGATTATTAGCTTGGAAACTTTCCTCTGGCTTCTACACATTGGTGCTGATTCCCCTGGAGCCACGTAAACAACATCTCCTCCCTCTTCCAGAGGTCAATTCATCAAAGTGCCCAGAGCAGCTATCAGATATCCCGATATTTTGGGTGAGAGTCTGTGAAGTGTGACGCCAAGATCTGAGCACTGGCCCCAAATCACATAAGACTTCAGGTGAGGCTTAGTGAGAGGCCACTTTACTGCTTGGCCTCCCCCGCCGCTCCGGGACACAGAGCTAGACGGCGCTATCGCCCAGGGCCCATTCTGGTGCTCTAGGTTCTCAGGACTAACATAAAGATTGCCCAATTCCCCTAAGAAATTATCATTGCCAATCCCATCATGCCTCATGCCACTGTTTTCCTCGGTGACCACCAGAAGTCTAAGCCCCAGCCTCCGCAGCAATGCAACGTGACCCTGACCCTCAACCCTCCCTGGCTCTGTGTGTACCTGATGTGAACATAGGACCCTTGCCTGCCCAGTACCCTGCCCTCTTCCTCTTAATGACAGCATCACAATTTTCCTGTGAAGAGCAATTCCCTTACTTGCCAACATGTGACTCTGGTGGGTTCTGCCCACCAGGCCTGGCCACATGGAGATGCCCCCACACTAACCACAGTGGAGGGTTCAGCTTGAGTCTCACTGGTGTGATGAGGGAGAGGCAGGCGCCAAAGACCATGCCCACCCGGAGCTGTGGGCACCATGCGCTGCTGTGTGGGGAGAGGCTGTCAGAGAAAGTAGCCAGCACTGGGGAGCAGAGCGGAGAGACTGTAGGAGAGCATCCTAGGACGTGGTTTGCGTCCCTGATGCACCCGGGACTGGAGCCAGCAGCCCCGTTGGATTTCCAGGTGTATGAGCAATTCAATTCTCTTTTCTTTTGCTTACTCTAGTTTGACTTGGATCTCTGACATTTGAAACTGAAAAGTCCTAATATAATCCCTGAGCTGACTCCCCCCCCCTCCCCTCTGAGAGGCCATTTCAGTGCGCCCTCTTGGAACACATGCAGCATGATCAGCCCATTCTCCCCTATTCTCACCTCCTCCCTGAATGCACCTCCCACCTCTTTAAGTGAAATCTGGCCCTCCCTTCACGACACTGGTTCCCCTGCAGGGCCCTCCGAACAAAGTCCATCTTCCCCCTCACCGTGGAGTACCATGAAGTGGGTAGGAGCTCTCCTTGCTCTTTACTGCCATTTAAAAACCACTCTTTTCCTTCTGCTTCAAATTCCCCAGCTTCTTTCAAGCTCTGTCTCCACCTAACTGTACCTAACGATCTGCCAGTCACCACCACACACTGTGAGAACTTCAGCTCCAGCTCACTGGCTTCCTCTCTGGCCCTCTCCCAGCCACTATTCTCAGCAAGTTCCACTTCCAATTCTTTCAACATGCGGGCCCCCATCACCCCAGCCACCTTACACCTTCTTGTCACTATGGTGTTATCACAGCACACCCGAAATCTCAAATTCCCACTTTCTATCATCTTTTATCCTTACTGCTCGCTTACTTTAGCACCTCCAGTGCTAAACTAATGTGACCTTGAGACTGCCAACTAATGTGATTCCCGTATTCTGGATTCTATGGTCTGTCATTAGAGTCACTCCCCGGAAAATACCCTAAATTCCTTTGTCAGCCTTTTCTTTCATTATACCTACCTTGCCGTCATTTTATATTGATGACGTATTTATCCTGGGAACTTAGAGGTACACACAGAAGTGCCAGAGGTTCCAGTTAGCCCAGCTGGCCAACAGTGACCCCAGGCACACTCCAGACACTTCAGTGTGAACTACAGAAGCAGTGGTTATGGAGAACTGACACCATCCAGGGACTCCTACACTGGCCCTTTGTGGTCCTACTAAAGCAGCTAGGTGTGGCTGGCGTCTAGAATTCCTGCACATGCCCACTCATTCCCCAGTGCCAGGGCTGGTTAGTGGCTTTTCTCGGATCCATTAGCTCCAAATTTGGACTTTTACTTCTCCAGCCCCTTCCACGATTGTGTAAGGTCTGCTTACTATAATAAGCTACTTATTCCACAGTGCTTGCTTAGCACCCAGTGACCCACTTTCTTTGAGCTTGCCCCAGAGAGGCTGAATACTGCTGGAGAAAAAACACAACCTAACTGACTGTTACACTGTAATGCATGACACACACTAGTCACCTGACTTTGTCCAGAAGAAGCCGTTCCCTCTTCATATAATGACATCACAATTTTGCTGGGTGAAGTATCCACCCCCCACTGAACAGTCTTGGTGAGACTTTGAATCCAATTGTTCTTTGCCTCGGTCTGGCCAGTCGGATGCACTCTCCCTGGAACTTGAATGTGGAGGGATGGAACTCATTCACCCCAACAGCCACATTCTAGAACTGCCATCCACGAGCTCCTGCTTGAGACCCCCC